TGAAGTTTAATTCTAACTGTATTTGCACGAGGCATGTTTCCAATAATTAATAGCCTTTATGTGATACTTAGCAGAAAAGAAAGAGACAAGGAAAAACCCTTTAGAACAGAGAGTTTCAGCTGTCTACTGGAATGATCATTATTTGCATGATGTTTATGCTCAGAACCCTTCCATGCCTGGGGAAGGCATCAGCCAGTATAACACACACAACAGGGTATCATGTCCAAAAGCTCACAGTTAGAACCCATCACAGAAACATTTACAGCAGAGCAATATTCTAGAGCACTATGTGACACTGCAAATACATAGAGACACTTTGTACCATCAACTTGGAATTTTATTTCAAGGGAGTTTAAGCAGTATCAAAGTTGTTGTTCTGGGGCATTTAGGGGGAGAAGTCCAATAGCTCTATTATTAAATTGCCTTTTTATTTAAAAAATCTGGAAAATCCAAAAGAACAAGAAGAACTCTTTGCTTCTAGGAACAATTGCCAGAATGCTTTCTTTCCGTCTACAGTATTAAAATGGATGCTGTTGTGCAGAGCTGCAGTGAATAGATCCTTAATGAATAAGTAAGTAAATGACTGTTCCCAGGGTGTTTTGAGTGCATTCTTGCAGAAAAAGCAAGGCAGAGTTTAGGGGCAGGATGAAGAGGTCCCACTACTAGGATTATGGTAAAGATATATATATATTAAGTTGTATTTTTTTAAAAATGGTTACCTTTTAACCTAAAACCTTCTGCTGCTCCAAGTTTTTCCAGTATGTTAGTCCACGGTCCTTTGGAGATGAATCTTCCTTTAGATGTCACCAGCACTATAGAGCTGAAGGAAACAAAGTCATTTATAAACACACGAAACGTTCCTCGCTTGCCAGACACCACCAGCAATTCCTGGCTGCATGACTCAAGAGCTTCAGCTTCCTGCTTTAGCAGCCTTCATCAGTGCTTTCCAAGAATTTCCTCATATGTTCACTTTTCCAGTCATGCAAAATCCATTAGGAAGCAGACTGAATTTGCCTTTTTTCTTTCTTTCTTTCTCTTTTTCTTTTATTTTTTTTTAACTTAACTGGTTTCTTGGGTGGTTAATGTGTTTCCAACCAGCAGATCCAGCCTGCTTTGCTTAGAAAGAAACAAGCTCTTTCTGGGTTATTCTCAGCAACATTCCAAATAACTTTTATATCACTAGCAGGATAAATCCTGAAGAAATTCACTTGAGATTTTTGCTGGCCTGACACTTTTCATCGTTTTTTTTACATTCTTTTACTTAGAAAGCATCTCACTATTATTATCATTACTGCCTTACTTGCATGCAGTATATTTCAGCTCAGAATATCTTGGCATTCTTTACAAACATGAAGTGATAAACGAGAGACAGACGGTGAGCTCTTTAATGTAGTGCACATCTATAATATTTAAGTAAAATCTAGCAGTTGCCCAAGCCTAATTCCAAAGGTGGTGAAAAACAAAAGAAGAACCAGTAATCATGAAGGGATAATCATATAGAGAGAACTGTTCAGAGAGGCCCAGGCCACTGAACAGAATTAACCCCACTATTTCCTACAAGATTCCCCAACACCTGCCATAGTTGCCTTGGAGTCAAGTAAGAAAGATGCTTCAGTGAGTTCAGCAGAAGTTTCGCTGTTAAGCTCAGTGGGGCAGGGATGTCACTCTTGCTCAGCTCCTAATTAGGGCAGCATTGCAGGGTGATTGGGAAAACATTTGCTTAGGTGACATCCTTTCATTCCATTTTGCAGGGCTTCTATGAGTGACACTTCCAGGGACTAGCATGTCAATTCTGCAAAATAAAAGCCTTGCTGGTTCTGCTTGCCTATATCACAGCGGCCCCAAATCACTAAATTAATTAGATGACAGCTCCTGAGGAGATCAAGCGCTGAGCTACGAAGTGCAGCAGTTACATCTTAACACCCCAGCTGGATCTGGAACTGCTCAGGGGAGAACAGCAATGGATGATGGCAGAAGAACTAAAAGTTACCAGGATTTTTTCCTAGAATAAACCGAGGTGTTAGAATACTTCAGTTCTTACAAGAATGGATGGAGCTGGCAGTCTGTTTTTGACTACTTTGTGAATGCTGATTCACCTCCTTTTCTTTCATTTCACTAAAATCACTACTTTCTGTTAAGACCTTCTTGCCTTGGAAATTTAAAATAAATTTGCCAGATGTTTTATTTTGTTAACCCAGGGAAATTCATCGGAAAAGTGGATTAATTTTTATAAATGTAATTTGGCATACAGAGAGTTTCTTAAACAAAATGAGAGGCTTGTCATTGCTAGAGACACCTCTTTCCACATCTCCAGATCCGTTAGACTATTTAGAAGTTGCTGCTTTGGCAATCTCTTCATGAGAGGCAGGCAGAGCTTTCTGGGTGGCAGAGCCCTTTTCCTCTGCACTAGACCCATCCCTCCATGCAGTTCACCTGGGCCATGAAGGGGGACAGAGGTGACCAGCAGCCGCTGCCTTACAGACCCTCCACCTGCACGGTGTCTGACTCGGAGCAACACCATTTCTCCCAATTTTTGCCTTTCCTGGATAAACGGATGATAGATCTTTCATGGCTGTAGCTGAAAGACTTGCCTGATTGGATTGGAAAGGCCTACAGGGGAAGGGTTGGATAAGCTTTTGATGAAAGGAGAATGATTCAGAGTTTTAACCCTGGCAAACACACACAACTGAGTGAGATCTAGAGGTACTGATCATGTTTGATCCAGATCCAGTTCTACTCCTAATCCTAATCCGGTTCCAAAACTAATCCAAAGAGACAATCAGGCTCAGATCCCCAAAAAAGCTCTAGGTCCTTCTTATAGGTTCTTTAAAAGGATTATGACAGACTTAAATACTCCTGAAGCCTAATTATGATTCAAGCTTCCCTCTCAAAGCCTTACCACGTCTTGTATTTTGACCTAGACTTCCTACCAGACACTCAAACGAGGCATCATCCTAAAACCAGGGATCAGAGGCCAGTGCTTTTCCTCTCTTTGTTCCTAGCTGAGCGTCCTGGCCATTAGGCCACAGAGCTGTCTTAGGAAAGGCTCAGTTCTGTGTGAGCCCTGCATGGAGCAGGGCATTAGAGACGCCTGCTTTTCAGTTTTGGTAGGTGAGTCATTAGAGAACTGTTTAAGGATGCTTTGGTGCTATATTCATGCAGCTTCCCACACTCAGCACTGTGGACATTTAGTCAGTTTTATATTGAGAATATCAGCTGGTTTAAGGATCTCTGTGCTACTCTCATGCGGTAAAGACCTGTCCCTATCCTGCTTCCAAGAAGCCACAGAGGCTGTTTCACCTACAGAGCGGAATTGTTAAAGCACTCCAGCAGTTTTAAGTGATCTCAAGGAAGAAAGAATTCAGGCAGCTGGATTCAGCCAGAAGCGAGACTGACCCTCTTGCAAAGGATGCTGATGGAGTTCTTTGCGACACCCTATTACATTATTATGAAAGAAAAAGAAGTAACAACTCCCATGCTTTTCTGTACTTGACATGTATTTTTGCAAGCCTTAGAATTATTTAAGACAGTAGAAACACAGCTGTATCCACCTTTGTGAAGTCCTGCTGAAAAAGCCTTCCAAGTTTCCACAATAAATCCTAGAACAATATTCTGTCAATCTGCCCACAGTTACTTCAGATGATTCATCAACAGCGATCATATTTTTATTGAATGTTAGGACCAGATTTTAAGTCAGAACAGATCTAATAACAATGAAATATATTCATTTCCCAATAGTGCAAACCAATCTGAGAACAGTCCCTTCAGTTAAAGGAGTCCAGAGAGTGTTTCCAATATTATTCCAGCAAATGAACCCACTGTCCTCCAGGATGCAGGAACACATGTTGGATACTTACCACCCACTTCCAAAACTGGCTCCCCAAACTTAAAAAATAAAAGCACAAAGTCCTTTATTTTTGGCAAGATACACGTGCAAAGAGCATGTGCTTTATTAGTGGAATCTTTGGGGATTTGAGAGCGTGTGCAGGCAGTAGAAAAATGTAAACTGTGCACATCTGTACACTAGAAATTGATAAATGCCATGAGTTTATTCAGGAATTTAAGTCTGCAGTTTATCTGCAATTCACTGAATAAATATAGATCTACAGTTTATTAATCAAACATAGTCCTGCAGTTTATCTGGGGCTTGATCAGTTCCTAAATCACACACTATACATTCTTACATTGCCTGCATGGTCTGTTCACCTTCGGACACTATTGCAGTTAGCAGGTACAAACCACATTCTGATCCCACTCAGTCTGGCCCATAGTGACTAAAATCAGGAAAAGGATGAGTTTTGCACAGCATTCTTGTGCATTATGTGTTAGTAATACTAGATTATTTACTCACTGGTCTTTGATGCTGTTGACATAATTTTCTATTTGTGCTGGAATTCCTTGCAGAATCGAGTTCTTGAATGTTACTCGATCAACAACTTTTCCATGATATCCATCAATCACAATCAGTTGAATACCCTCCTCAGTCAGGAAAAACCTAATACCATCAACCTGTGTGGGAGGAAAAATAAGCTTGGTCTGTCAAAGCGACACAAATACAAAACAACTAACTATAAGAAGCAGTAATAGTGTTGAATAACACTGAACTGTTCTTTATATCAAAGGGCAGAATTCCAGCTCTCTGAGGTCAAAATGTGCTGTGGTTTGCTAGTAGAGTGAAGTTAGGGCCATATATTTTGCAAAATACAAAGCAAAAGAGATCCAACACTAATCACCCATGGTAACTTTGTAAGTTTTCCATAATAATGAAGTATTTTGTCTCATAAGTCTTACATAGTTCACTAAGAGAACTTGCTTACCTCAATGTATGCAAAGTCATCCTTTAGGTGGAAGTACTGTTTCTTATAAGTTTCTATTTTCACTTCTAGTAAGTGGTCCTTGGTCTTCTGTTTACAAAAAAAAAAAAAAGAAAAAAAGAAAAAAGAAAAAAAAGAGAAAATGGTTTCTAGTGAGGCTGTCCATTACCTGAAGGGTACACTGTCAGAAAGCCTTTAAACCTAGAAATTCAATCAGCAAGAACGCTACATAACAGGTTGTGACTTGCCAAACTGCACTGCTAATGAGACTGGGCACAATGGTAACCTCTCTGGTCATCCTGTCAGCATTTAAATTGTTTCACAGAATGGCAAAGCTTGAGTGAGGCTACAGTTGACATAACTCTCTGAGGCTTTGCATCCTGCTCCAGAGGTGATGCATAAAAAGAAGCAAACAAACAAAAAGAAATATTTCCTTTTCTTCCCTAGATCCAGACTAGGCTGAATCCAGGAGAAAAAGTGCTATGCAAAATCCTTGATAAGAGCAATACACCCAGCTATGCAGTCTCCTCTCTGACACTGCTGTTCTTACAGCCTGCAGGAGCTGGAGGTCAGGTAAGAGACTTGTGTCTGTCCAGGTACAGATTCCCTGGACCAACATGTCCTTCAGCTCATCACTCTTGACTCTACACTTCTAAGCCCAACACTTCACAACAGAGCCCCAAAAGACTATTTAGCTACAACTGGAATCTTGGTCAGGTCTGTCCCTTGAGGCCCTGTGCTTTCTGCACTTGCAAGAATCTGTTCCATATCGTTTTACATGCCTGGACTGTTTCAGAAAATTGGGCACAGGAGATGCTGAATCTGGTACAAAGTCTTTCTGTGACTAGGGGAACAACATGTACCAGAAGCACAGACTTAAAGGACAATAATGCCACAATAATAAATCAACTACTTTACCAGTTGTGCACTAGAGAGCTTCTTAGGCATTGGGACTTCTACAACTGGCGTCTCGATGTACTTGGGATAGGCCATGGCTTCACAGTCACTCACACCAGCAGTCTTTGGAATCACAGCTTTGATTCTTATTCGTTCACAGCCTTTGACAGAGCAGAAGGCAAATTTCTCCTTCTCGTTTTGAGCTTTGAGTTTCAGAAACAGCAGTCTGCAGATAGGGGAAAAAAAAATGAACATCCCTGAGTGTTCCACTCAGCCCAAATGACTCAGTCCCAGTTTCAGAGGGCTGTTTCTTGCCACCCTGCAGTAGTGCGTGTTGCAAACCCCTAGTGCTGATGCCAGTTATTTCTGCTGCTTAACACATCACAGGCAAGTGTAGGAGCACACATCTCAGGAATGTTTGGGAAGGTCAGGCAACTTGAGACAGAGAGATTAGACAACGCTGAACTGTTAGAGGTCTACTGCATCACGATACATTTACACAGAGATACCTGCTTTGTTTTTCAGATCTTTCTCTTTCTTTCCCATTATTTTATTTCTTTAGAGAAAACTAACAAACAGACTTAACTCTCACAGTTCCTGTGGATCCCTGACTTGCTGCTTAAAAATGGTTAAAAATGCTGCTTAAAAATGCTTAAAATTGTTCAGAACAAAAAGGGCTGGGTGTGCCTCCACTTCAGCTTCATGCTCCATGGTCTGCACTTTGCTTTTGTTTTCTTCCTAATTTGTATTCATTTGGCATAGCATTTCCCAGAGTAATTGGCAGCACAGCAGAGCCTATGAATGACTGGCAGCTGTGGGAGTCCCAGGAAAATTAAATGCTGATGGCATTCTCAGAAGGAATCTCTGCCCCCCCCCCTCCCTTTTTTTTTTGTGATCCCCTTTAATGGCATAAACTAAACAATTCATGATTCCAACAGCTTTCTCATATCAGTGTCCAAATCAGCAAGGACTGTTTCCTTACCCCGTGTCCTCATCCCAGTAGTAGTATCCTTTGCTAGGATGTCTGTGCTCCAGTTTCTCCATCTGAAAGGTTCTATAAAAGGTTCCAGTTTTGTATGTTTTCTTCAAAAGACGATTATGGATGTCTGAGAGAATGGAAAATGTTGTCCCTTTAGGATAACAAAACCCTACTTGGATCCAGTCATTCCTAAAATAGCAAAGATCCATATTAGAACAAGTTGACACATGACTATTATTTTCCGGGGCCTTTCCTAGAAGCCAAACTAAATAATTCACTCTGTAACTTATTTTTTTTTCCTGGCTGGTCAACATTTTAATGGTTTGGGATGAATCAATGCAACATAAGTTAGACATAATATCCATGGGTTAATTTAGTGACGTGGGTCAAATCTGCTTCCGACTCCTACACCCCTGACTTCTATGTACCCGTAATGAACTAGCTCTAGCTTATCTTCCATGGCTTCTCCAGGGAGGAAAGAGGAATCTGAGATGTCAGATGGAAAAAATTCTGTACTCAATGGACTTCATGAAACAAGTGTGTTAATTCTGGAAGAGCTCATGAGGTGACAACCTCACCAGTTAAAAATGTTTAGTTGCACTAGTGGGGGTGGAATGCCCTGTTCATGGTGTTGAATTCAGTCAGATCACTCACTTGTTGAAGTTGATAAGCCATATGGCCAGTTCTTCGGGAGCCGTCTTGTCCCAGTGGATGGTGTAGCCTTTCCTCAGAGTTATAACTGGCTGATACTGCTGGTAATGAGTGCTTTTGCTCAACGCCCCTTCTAAATACAGTGGTCGATTGTGGTAGTCATTTTTTATTATTTTCATTTTCAGATTTGCTGGCTTGTAGGCTTGGATGTAGATCTAGATTAAAAAAAGAGATCGCATATGATTTAATGACTTGCAGTAAAATATTAAAGGCCCAGATACTCAGTAGGTGTGAGGTGGTGTGAGGCCTCTGACTTCAGCAGAGTATATGAGTATGATTTAACATGTATGACAGACAGGAGCCTGGTCATATACTTCTACCTGCATATTCAGTTTCTTAATATTCTTTTCCAACAAGGTAAACTGTTTTCAGGAAAAAAAAAGAGAACCATCTCCTCATCTACTGAGTTCAAGAACATGTGCCAGTTAAGACCTCAAATAGGCCTTCAGTATTTCACAGTGTTGGTGGCAACCCCCAATAGAGGGACAAAATCTACCTCAGACATTTGACTTCTACATAAACGTGGAACTTCCTGTGTAGATTTCAGAAGTAGGAAAACCAGCTTGGTGGTTAGTTGGCTTCAGTTGTATTACTCTGAAAAAATAGCACTTGCAGCCCCCTGAGACAAAAAAGTCACTACTCATCAGAGGGAAGTAAAGACTTTCTCACTAGGCACTAGGCATTCATGTGGTAGGAATAATGGTTTGTTGGTTAAACAACAGGATGGAAGATCGCGGGAATGGAAGTCTGGTTTTGACTCCTCAGCATACTTCCTACAACACTGTTGCAAACACTTCCCTCCTTAAAATGAGGGAAAATTATACTGCCCAACCCTACAGCCTGTAGAATTATATTAATCTGTTAATGCTCATAGAGATTTTAGAGGTCTTAGGTAGAAGTTGTTCCAGTTTTTAACACTCCGGGCCAAAATGTCTGAAAATATACAACAGTGTATACGGGTAACCTCTGTGTTCAAAACTGTGGGTACAAACATGCAGTTAAGCCATGACCATCTCCCCAAAAAAGAAAATACTTTGCTACAGTTAAACTAGCAAGCTTAACAGTGCCAAGATAAGTATTAAGCCATGACAATACTGAAAGGAACGCAGTGTTACCTGTGCATAGTGTCCACTGCAGATAGACCCTCTCCAGTCAGGCACATCAATGCAATCAGGGTGTTTGATTAACCAGTTATCTTCTTTTATAAGGTATGAACCTGGATATTCAGACACAGAACCATCTACATCATGAAAAACTGATGTTTTATCGCCATCCATATTCAGATCATTGAACCATGGTCCGGGTTCTCCAAAGAAGACCCTTGATGTAATCTAAACAAAACAGAACAGTGAAACACATTTGCATCTCCAACTAGGCATTCATCACTTATGGTACAAGGCAAAAGCTAACTACAGTCATAAGAATGTCTTCAAAGGACATGTTTTTGGATGTTCTTTGGCATTGGAGAGTATGCTGGCCAAGAAGTGGCATTGGATTTGTGTGTTCAACTTGTGCATGAGGAAATCTGTGTATGTATCAACATAATTTTTCTTTAAATGTCACAGATTTTGATTGCTCAGCTTCAGCCATTGTAGGCCAGAGCCTGTTCAAAGGCTCTAAGATCCAGCGACTCCAGATGAAGTCAGGAGAGCTTCGAGTGCTTTGAAATAGCACTTACATGGCCATAAAAGTGTGAGCTTCTGAAAGAGTGCATCAAAAGATGGATGCACCAAAAACATACTCAACAGTTAGTCGTCAGCTGGTAGGAACATCAATATCAGGAATACGGTACAGGAATATTAAGAATGTCTCTCGTTTGTCTGCACATTGCCTCTTCATAAAGCCAGAAGTCAACATAGAGCTGGGTCATGCCCTTAAAAAAAATCTGATTTGTCATCCTGAGCACCCAG